TAGCCGATGTATAGACATCCACATTGCGTGTGTGTCTAAAGTTTCAGTGAACTGAATCCAGCCATCACCCCTATTACATGTTTCTCCACTGCAAAGTGGGCACTACCACAAAATGCACAGATCTACAGAGCCATTCTGGGACTTGGAATTGGATAAAAAAATACTCAATGATCATTTTTTGAAATAACATTGTTATTTTCTTTTCTCCTCCCCAACATCTATACACACACATGTACACTCACAAGCACATACACACAACGAAAATTAAACGCATATATCAGTCCAAAGAATAAGATAATGGTCTTTGCATTACAAGGCCATCACAGAGATGAGAGTGGAAAAATTCAACGAGTCACCATCAGTAGCAACCAGCTCAGAGTCAGATGTTTCTAACTTGCTGAAAGCAAGTCTAATCAAAAGTTACCACGAACACTTTTAGACTTGTTGGGAATACTTGTGGGTGTGGTTGAAATAGGTTTAATCTGTGTGCTGGGGAGACTGCTGTAAATTTTTTAGGCTCTAAGTTTGCCAGGAAAGATTCATTTTAATTCAGCACAAACTCTATTAAAGACAGTTATTTTGTCAGTCAAAATCCATGGACATACTGTAAGCAAATGCATCTTCGAACTTAACACTGCACAGGGAAATCCATGGCTGATTCTAGATGCCCCAGCTATTAATGCTGAGTTCCAAAGTTTCTCCAATATCCTAGTTACATCACATACCTCATTTGCTTTGTATTGCACAGGTCTGGAAGGGAAATTTAGCTAGAAAACTGAGGTGGGTTGCTAGGAAGACTCAGCAGTCTTCCTTTCAGTTTGTTCATATTGTTTTGTTAGGAATTATGCCTTTTTAAACACATGAAAACCTAGGTGCGGTGTAGCAAATATCACCGTGCATCTTGCTTTCTAAACTCTTGAAATAATAAATAATGAAAGGTGGAGCATAAGGCAATTGATTTGGAGTCTCCTGAACCCTGCCTCTCTGCATGGTCTGTCTCCACCCCTTCCTGTCTGCATGACTGGAGTACTCCTCCTCAAATCCCAATTCCAAATTTCACAGAAGAGTTTGACAGCATCTGGGAACTGGATGGGCAGCAGCAGCAACAGCAGCAACAGCAACGCTGTCAGCAGAACTGGTTTTCTTCCTTTTGTATGTAAGAGAAACCTAGCTGGTATCTCACTGAACAGAAGCAGCGAGCTGGGCTAAAACACAATCCAGTGCTCCAGGTACGTGATGGCAAACCGATCCACAAAGAGAGATCTGGCAACAGAGAAAACACTTTGTGTTGAATGGGAGAAATTTGAAATTGCTAAGCAATTAGAAATACCTTTTTGCAGTAAACATTGCAGGGAAAGAAAAGGGCAGTTTCAAAGAAAGACCTTTATTTTAGTTTCATTAAACAGCTGCACAAAGACAAGTATTAAGGAGTGGATAGGGAGTGGATAAAGGGTGTCAGCTTTGGGAAAGACTGGATTTCGTTCTGAATGAGATCCAGCTGAGAGCTGAGGCACGGTAGCAGTTGTGAAGACATCTCATGATTCCCAGCATATTTCCCATTGTGTGCATGCAGGTCCATGGTTTGGTTTAAATCTAAAGTAGTTATTTTTTTATACTAAGTATCCTTTGTTTATTAGGATAATGATGCCATCTGTTGTCTTCATCCAGCATCACTGGAAGGAAATGATGCTCAACCTTGGGAACACAACTATTTCCACGTGTTGTTTCTCTCTTCTTTCTCTCTCTCATCCTTTTTGACACTGATTCTCTATTTTTTTCTGACAGCTACTCCTATATTTCAAAACATATTTTTCATTCTATATGTGATCATACAAATAAGCAAGGGTAGTAGTATGTTCACTTGAAGCTTTTAACTCAAGGCTTTCTGACTTTGGGAGAGACATTGTATTTTAGTCACAGTTTGGGCACTTTCTATCTGAATTACTAGGTAGCACTTTATGTCCAGCAGTAGCAAGAACAGGTTAGAAGACCTTTTGTTTGTTTGTTTTTCTTATAGGAATGAATTCTCATTCTTTTTCTTGTTTGGTTCATTGAAGCACATAGACCCCAGAAGTGTTTTTTTTTCCATGCTGAAATGTTATCACTGGGCACAGGAAAGAAGGCAGAAATGTCACATCTTGGCATCACTAGCCTGAGCAAAAAGCCAAGGAGTTTGAGGTCCACTGCCCATACTTACTTTCTGAGAAATGGGAATTATCCTTACCATTATCTTTTTTTTTTTTTCCCAGCTGTACATGGTTGTGTTTTAAAAGATGTTGCTCCATCCCTTCAGGAAAGAATTTCTTTCTTTCCGTTGAAAATTAAGATTCAGCAAGATTTAACCATGTTGTTTGCTACTTCCTAAAAATGTGTGGTTTGGGTCTGTCCTACAGGCCAATGGAGCCCATCTTTGCAAAAATACTAAGTAACTCTCTTTAGCTCTTCTGTTGCTTGCGGAATAGCTAAAGGACATTGAGCAGCCCAAAGAAGCAAGGTATGGTGGAAGCATCGGTGAGAAGCGGAAACTACAGGGGAGTTTCTCTTAACAAGCAGAGTAACAGCTTGCGGATATTGTTGCTTTTTTTCCTGTTAGCAGCAGTGTTGCCTGTTCCTTGCTTTCTGCCAGGCCCCACATGTCCGCTGTGTTAGAGCTCAATGGTGAGAAGCAGGGTATAAAGGCAAAAAGGTTCTGCCTGCTTGGAATGGTGCCACAGGAAAAGCAGGAAAAGGAAAAGGGTAATGGATAAGATTGGTGGGAAGAAGGAATGAAGTGAGGCAGGAGATGTAGGAAATATCCTGCACTGATGCTTGTCCATGCCAGGGTCTGGGGAACAAAGCGGGCGGGATCAAATCCTGTTTCTGACTAAACAGGATCCCATCAAAGACTTGCAAGCCGGTCAGGTGTGGCAGACTATTTACTATGCTCTGCACAGCCTGGTGCCTGGAGAAGAGCCAGCTGGCTAAGACTCAAGCTATGTAGGCCAAAGAAAAGATTTTTGTGAAGCAACTAAAATATACACAGTAGGTGATTTCACAATGGTTGCAAAGCTTATTGCCTCCTAAACGCTACTTCCTTGAAGGGGACACCACAGGTTGTGCCCTTCTGAGGGAAAGACCTCAGTGAGGTAAAAATCTGAGGTAACAGCCAGTGGAGGTGGCTGTTTTGGAGAAGGCTTGTGAATTCCCCAAGCAGTCTCTTGATGACTCTCAGGTTAAGAGAAATGAGGTAGAAAGTACTTTTGCACAAACAAATGACTTGAGTGTTTCCAGGTCTCTTAGGAGGGACCTGAACTAGGGAACACTGTCCCAGGCATGCTGCAACTTCCATGTGCATGAAGTGGTGAAACCATGGAAGTATGAGTCCTGGAAATCAGCCTCCTTCATGCTTCCTAGCAGCAGCCTTGATATTCAGATATTGAGCAAGGTGGGAGAGCAATTAACAAATGTAATCAGCTCTTAGTTATCTGCAGACAGTGCTCTGCAGATCGTGAGATTACTCATCTCATGGATATTTCTGAAGCAGCTTAATTCCAGAATCAGTAGAGCTGCATCCACCCGTCTCCAGGATCTCTACCCCACACTCTTATAGCCAGGAGTTACTGGAGTAATTGGACAAACTTGCTGAAGCTCAGTGCTAGTGCTGCCAGACCTGATGACAGCAGCCCCAGGGTGGGTAGAGGATGAGGAAGAACACATCTCTGCACTATACTTTGGGAAGGATGATTACCTTGGGTAGAAGGTAATATAAATGCATAAGAAAACTTTGATGCTGTCATCGAGCCTAAGTGAATTATGCAAGCTGGGAAGCGCTGGGTAGGCACAAAAAAGCTGTGCTCAATCAACCTAACAAGGATGACTCCTTGTTCTTAAATTTGTGTGCATCACAGCACCCAGGGTGTCCATATTATCTAGGCTTTCCTTTTACTTGGTGAGACTCAGTTCTCTGCCTCTGTGGTTAGTGGAGATGTGATGAAAGTATGTACACTTTTATGACAGAATTTTCTACCTTTTCAAGATGGTTAGACAGTTTTCTCAAACTCGTATTACTATTTAAGTAGAAGAAATAGGCTGTTACAGAAATGATGAAGTTGAGAAAGTCATAATGTATTTGTGGGTGTCGGTACATGTCCCCAAGAAATATTTCAAGGTCAGCACATGGATGGAAAATGCTACAATTAACACTGTCTTTTCAGACTTAATTGTATTCCTTGTACAGATGCATTATAACAACACTTTTAATTACAGGATCATCCATTCCGTGTTCCAGGCACAGAAAGTGGGAATGGCTTTTGACTTTAATCTCTCTTGTTGTTTGTAACTGCTATTTCTGGAGAAGGGACAAACCCAAATGCTCCCTGAAAGCTGACATATTTTGAGTGACTTGTAACTTTGTTGGTTTTCTTGCATTCCCTTTTGAGGACATATGGAAGGCCTTGTAGTCTAATTTACAAAGCAGCATTGCAGCTGTTCACTAACTGCATCTGATATGTGGGGTCCCAGAACAGCTGTGATGATCTGTGGCTGCTACTGAATGCAGTGGGGATCCGCACTGAAGGAAGTGCTCAAGACCATAGCAGGTGAATGCTGTGCTCTGTAGCCATCACATAATTCAGTGCAACCAACATGTGATTCTATATGAAGACACACACGACAGGTCATTCTCTCCACATGCCTGGGAAGAAAATAACATGGGAAGCAGCTGGTTCACACCAGTGTTGACGGAGTTACACAAGAGCAAAACAAATGTGATATGAGAGTCAGCACCTACACATATGTGATTTTTTAACTTTGCTTTTTATAACTTTTGAGCTCAACACAATAAATTAGATTAAGAATCATTCTGCTTTAGAACATCGCTTTTGAGTTTTTCTACTTCTTTTAGGCGTAGATATGAATGTTATTTATAGAAGTTACAAAACTATATTCTGCAGATCATGTTTAGCCGTTTACCTTAATCCTTTATTAACTTATTATTATTATTATTTTCCTTAGGTTTCAAAATGGCAGATCCATTCCTATATGACAGTGGAGAAAGGTCTCGATACAGGTGCCAAGGACAAGAAGTACAAATTGAGCACATCAAGGCATATACTTGTAAACCATCTTTCTTCACAGACAAAGCTGTGATTGTGGTTCATGATATATTTGGATGGCTCTTCCCAGACATTAGATACATAGTTGACTTAGTCGCACTTCACGGATATGTGTAAGCAATTGTCTTTACTATTTTCCTCTGAAGTAATAGGTCACCAGGCCCAAAGCAGAGCATAGCACATGATGTTTCTCCTCACCTAGGGTGACCAACAAAAACACAAGTTGATGAGGTGTGCCCATGAGGCAACTGCACCAAAGTTACCAAAATTGACCAATCACAAATGGTGATTGCAAAAAGCTGTAAGGACAGCCATGAAGTGCCAGTGTTTGTACTTACCTGGCATTGGGGGTGATTAAAAGATAGACAATAAAGATGTCTGCATGCACCTCTAAGCTTTTCGCAACCAAACCTTTTGGAGTACAACCAACCTTGCTAATACCTGCTTCAGCTTTTACTAGTCAAGAGATAAATATGTGTTTATACAGAAAAAGAGGGTTTTGTTGTTGTTGTTGCTTTTTTTTTTTTTTTTTTAACCCATTGTTTTTGAATTAAGAATGGCCATAGAAATAATGAGAATTCATTTGTGGTTTTCTTTCTCCATAGAAAGACATACATTTTTTGGTCTGCTGTTTACCAGAATACAATTGTTAGAATAGGATTCAGGTAGCAACCATGTAGATGAGTACTCTGGAATAGAAAAGAGATTAAAAGCCATTTAGACATGCAGTTTCTTCCCATCTTGACTTGAAGGTTGACTTGGTTCTATGTCTTATAAAGAGCCATCTGCCCAGATTTCTTCAAGGGGACAGAGCCTTGGAAAACTACTGACCATTGGGCTGACTTTGCTGACTGGATGAAAAGACACGATCCTATGAAAGTAGACAGGTAAGAGGTATATTTGTGCTTTAATTCTAAAGAGCATGAAGTAAACAAAATGAATTTGCATGCCTCTAAAATGTTAAGAGCAGCACCTTGCAGCAGGGCAAGCTGGCTGCATATGCACAATTGCTCTTGCTGGTTGGTTCTTCTGGGGCCCTGGGCACTCTCTTGGCATTTGGAAAGAATCGTTTGCTCCAGCTACCATCTGCTTCTTGTTCATGTGTCAGTTTTAATTTTATGGGCCCTTTTCTAAGTATGTTGAACTGCATGCACAAGCCCATAGCAGTATTTCACAAGCTATGAACTACCTAGCATTCTCATCCAGAGGTGCTGATACCGCATCCAGTTCTTCAGGGTAAGGAGGAAAACTCTTCCACGAGCACTTGTGCAATCTGCCCATTGTCACTTACCCATCCTGCTTTTTCCTTTGTAGATAATATTCTCCTGAGCAGCACCAGATCAAAATTTGCAAGATTGCCCCCAGACTGACATACATCTGTTAAATGATACTGATTTTATCAATGTGTGTAATAGAGGGACCACTATCTGTAGATCCTAGCAGTATCAGTAACAAACCTGAATTATCGGAGGCATTATTGTTTCTGGCAAATTGTTGTGACATCTATCACCACAATCTAGAACTTCAAAAGATGATAGTAGATGGATTGACACCCCTTTACTCAGCTTTCATGTTGCAAGCCACAAAGTATTCTCGTGATCCTTTCAGGAGCTCTCAGTGCCTGAAGCCTAACTTGGACACCTCTCAGCACAGGTTTTGACTATATAGCTGTAGTACCTATGTGACTAAATTTTTTTGAAAATAAAAATGGCTAACACTTGCCTGTAAAAAATCCTATCCAAAATATGCAGATATATAGGCACCATATTCACCAGTTAACACTTGAAGGAAATGACTACGCTGTCTTCTGAGGGCTGACGTAGCTGCTGCCCTTTCAGAGCACAAACAGTCCTATCAATGCCCTCTATTAATGCCCAAGCATTAATTAATGTTCTAAAAAAAATATTCTGAAAGTCTGTCCATTCATTCACACTGTAGTCCTCAGGTGCAAGCCTAGAAGACAGGCAGATCATGGGAGATGCCATTGATAAAATGCTGTTTTTGTGAATCTAAACAAACGTGTGATAACCTTACTAGTATACCTGTATTTTGAAAAAATTAAATTTCAGTAACAGACAACTCTGTAGGTTAATAATTAGATAAAGCTATTGCGACTTATAAAATCAGCAACAAAAAGAATAAAAGTTTAACCTGCTCTGAAGTACATTAAAAACACTTTCCATATTTTCTCCAATATCTTCTTTTTTAACATTTTAGTTAATGACAGTTTAATTTTGGGTAGTTATTAATTTAATATGCTGTTGTTGTGTGTGGGCTTGGTAGAATGTTTTAAATATTAATTCATACAACAGGAATGACATACTCAGGTGATACCTTATCTAAAGGCCTAGACTCAGTAGAGAGAGCACAGTGAGGCTCATCTGTTCCTACAATCCATAATGCAAGGTGTTGTTCTACTTGCAGATATGTCTTGTCTTTAATTGCCCTGTCCTAGACAAAGTGATTCAATTAAAAATTTGCTTCTTTTGAAAACAGAGGAGCAGGTGACATTTCAGGTAAGTATTAAGCACCTGCACATGTGTATAGCTAACTCCCTAAACTAGGGCTAGCTATGGCTTAACTCCCATTTAAAAATTAGAAACTCACTAATCTGAGGTTGAAATTCGATTTTTGTTTTAAATGATGTGGGGCGCAGATGCAGAAAATATCCGGTATTGCTTTTAATTTACTTTTTAGATTATCAAATGTTGCTTCTGCTATAAATTCTTTAGTTCACTTTTGTTTATATGTCTTAGGGAAGCTGATGTTGTCTTGAAGTATCTAAAGGAACAATGCGGTGCAAAGAAGATTGGTATCGTTGGGTTTTCCTGGGGTGGAATGGCAGTACATCACTTGATGCTGAAAAATCCTCAATTAAACGCGGGGGTGTCCCTCTATGGTAGTATAGAACACATGAAAACTTACATAGACTTACATGACTATATGTAGCTTTTTGTCTGGTTATTGCTTTGTAAAAATTTCTGTAAATGTTCAACAAAGAGATGAGTTGGAGGTTTTTAAATAATAAACTATAATAATTTATTTCCATATTACATGATATTGCTATCAAAAAATAAGACTGTTGTAAACCAGAAAAAAAAAGATTTGCTCTTTCATTGAAATTTTATAATCATTTTCTCAGTGCTTGGAGAGTGGGAAAAATATTTTTCAAATGCTTTTTTTTTTTTCTCCATCATAATAGTAACTATTCTGATATTTTAAAAAATCTAAGTAAATCTAAGTAGAATTTTTGTGTTTTATTTTTGGCATTCATCTTTCAAGAATGTTGCCTCCCTAACAGACTGTTTCTCATATACATTATAGGAATAGTTAGAGACTCTGAAGAAAGATACGATTTACTAAATCCTACGTTTTTCATTTTTGGTGAGAAAGACCATACTATTTCTTATGATCAGGTAAGTTGTTGTACCGGAGATGTTTTTTCTTTTCCCATAGTTCTTCTATCCTACATAGCTGAAATCCTAGCTTGCTAAAAACATTTTCTGAAGTGAAAGATCAGACAGTCTGGATTGCTTTTCTTATATTTCAACTTTTGCTGAGGTTATTCAAAGACTTCTTTTTTTGAGGTGAGAAATGCAGTAAAGACCAGTGATGGTCTCTGAGTGAATGAGCAAGTGGAGTTTTAAATTGAGCAGCCACATACAACTGGAGTGAGTTGAACAGATCAGACACTTGGGTACTACTGCTGTGGATGAGAGATCAGATACTTAAGCCATTGAATATAAATTTGGACTTTGAAGAGAAAAAAATAATTTTAGCCTACCAACTGAACTCTCTGAATGATAAAGACTCAATGATTAACTGCTTTTGGGTACAACATGGCCAAATGAACTGTATCAGAAAAGTAGTCATGAATTCCAACTAAGATGATTGCACCTTGTGGACTCTGTTTTGACTTCTTAGGTCTACATAGCCTCTATTGAACATTAGAAGTAGCAATGTGACAAATGGCAAGCTTGCCAAACTTAAAAAAAAAAAAAATAATGGAAAAATGCTTTCTTTTACAGATCACCTTACTGGAGGAGAAGTTGAAACAGTACTGTAAAGTTGGATATAAAATTAAAGTTTATCCTGGACAAGTTCATGGGTTTGCACAGCTGAAGCCAGAAGACATGAAACCTCAGGATAAACCTTATATTGAAGAAGCTAGACAAGATATGTTTGACTGGATCAAAATGTATATTTGACAGAAGTATAAAGTAACACTAGGTTTCAAGATCAGTGTTTAATTAAAATTTAATTAAATTTTTGAGAAGAAAACAACTATGGGGAAACTATTCTGTTTTGAAAATTTTCACAAACTAAAATAGTATTTTAATTTATAACTCTTAATTATTATTGCAATATTTTCCTAACGTTGTGAAAGCAAAATAGGACTGAAGGACCATTAGGACCATTTAGGCATTAAAGTTATTCAAATTCACCTTGCTTTGCATTTGGTTCATTATTCTGCCTTGACATTAACAGTAATGACATTGTTTATTCATTTTTCTATCCTGGTGAGCACAACTTTTCATCCTAATTTTACCTGAGTAGTTTCAGGTTTATTTTAGAATGATAAGTGGTAGTCCCAGGTGATAATACAGGAATAGCCTAGTTTTGTATGAAAACCCTATTTTTAAATTTAATTTAATTTTTTTGCTGTAAAGTATTTTCTTCAGACATACTGAGGCACTAAGCTGAATTTCCTATGCATGGAACAAACAGCTGGCTGTGTTACATAGTAAGGGGTGATACTGCTGTGAGGTGCCCTGCAAGTGTCCTTTGTTAAGAGCACTTCCAATATTCCTTCATCAACACCAAAGAAAACCAAAGCCAGTATGTCCCAACCATGGAAGTCACCCAGACATGAGTATGGTGGAAACAGTGGGTTTACCATCCTGACCTAAACTCTGGAGATCAGGTGTGGGGCTGGCCAGCAGGTATCCCTAACTAGCCCCCAGTTTAGCCTTTGCCATGTGTTATATCCCCTTTTCCCCTCTCAGGTTCTTCCCCTTTATCGCCCCCATTTCCTCCCAAATAAACAACCTATTCCTCTCTCCTTTCACCACACTAGCTCCAGTTCTGCTGACCCAATCACTGGAAGTTCCTCAGGCTGTTACCATGCTAGTGTAGACCTAAATGAAAGTTGACCACCTGCATAGACTTCACTTTCCCTTTGGTTTCAGGAATGCTTGGCAGTTTTCACAGCACTGTCTTATTAAGGTGACTGTATCGTCAGAGTGGTTGCCTGCACAGCTCAGCAGGTTGAACATGTTAAGCAGCACTAGCGTGAGCAAGTCCTGATGCTTGGAGATGCTGTATGAAGGACGCTGCTCATGCAGGGTGACCTTGGATCACCCCATTGGGACATGTGGCCAGTGAGCACGTCCGCCTTTGCTGTCATGCTGTGGGAGGGAGGTCTTGCCACAGAGAGTGCTTGCCTAATGGAGGATGTGCAGGAGTTGGAGGAGGGAATAAAACATCACAGGGGAGGTGGGAGAGCAATGTTACAGAAGGGAAAGAGATGCATCCTCTTGTGACCACACCAAAACACTTCACTGCTTGCCCTTCACTTACTTGTACTCTGCTACTGACATACTGTTCCTCTGATACGGGGAAGAAAAACATTAACAAGCTTTTTTTGTTGTTTTGCTTTGTTTTAGCTGTATCTCTGAGCACGGTTTGCCCCTCCAGCTGAGGGGATGACAGTTTCAGGGACACAGGTGGGCAAGCAGCCATCTCCCCATGGGCACTCGTCCTCTGGTACGGGTCTGCTGTGGCAGCAGGACCTGGCGCCAGGCATGCCGGGCTGGGCGCCTGCCAGGAGCGACGCCCTCTTGGCAGGGGAGTGGAGGCTTTGCGGAGCTATCCGCAATCTCCTCAGCCTGGGAGGGTTTGTCTAACATGTTTTGCTGTGTCTCCAGGCCATGAAATTACATTTCCCTATGGGAGGGGACTTGCACACAGAAAGGGAGTACCTGCTGCTGATCAGCATACGGCATCTCATGTGTTCGGTGCTTCTATGGTCGGCACCTCAGTGGCTCCCCTCATGCAGCTCTCCCGAAAGAATGGGGTGGGGAAACTGCCCTTTCTTGAATTTGGGGCAGATCTATTGGCTTTTGGAGGCCCATTTTCCCCCAAGAAAGACCATGGAAACTGAAAGCAGCTGTGGTAGACTCACCTCAGTGAGGTGAGGCCAAGTTGGGGCCTGGCTGCTGCCCTCCTCGCAGGGCACTGCAGAAGGGCCGGGGACAGCTCACATTTCTTATAACAGCAGAAAATCTGGCTACATGCGAGGAAAAAAATGATTAACCATGACAATGATTAAGCACCACAGCAACTTGCCTAGAGAAGTGGTGAGATCTCTATCCTCGTAGATTTTCAGGCACCAGGCTCTTGACATCATTGTCTGTGGGTTCCTTGATAGCCTCAGAGCATTTCCCCAAGGACAAGTTTGTGAAGACAGTGTAATAACATGGGTTTTGTGGGAAATGAAGGGGGTAGCATGATGAAATGTTTCATTATTAAGAAAACATAATGTTAAAGGGTGTTGAGAAAGCAACGTCTCTGCCCTTGCCTATCCCAAACAGAGATGTCAGCTGTGTTATTTATGTTAAAAATCTCTTTGAAATGGATCGCAGGCGTGCATTGCACACACAGCATTTCTCGTCGTTTTCTCCAAACTAATGCGCCAGGTTTTGTAACTATGGGATACCACGTGTGGGTCAGATCCACAGCTGGTGTAAGCAACTTGTATAGAAGAGATATGAAAACTTGTCTGTATTCTTTCCCAGATACAATGAGTCTGAGTGGTCAGGGCTGGCATAGGGTGTCTCCAAGCCATGGTGACAAACACTCTTGCCATTCAAAGCACAGAGCCCTATGTGCCATGGGTTCTGGGGCCTCAGATGAATTGAGCCCTGGGTTGGTTGGTTGACTTTGGTGACGATGTATACCCTGGTTTCATCCCTATTCCTCTCCATGTGCCTTCATTCCCCCCTAGTGTACAAATAAGGAGCTTGCAAGCAACGTGTAAACTTTTCTCCAGAGCTTTATTTGGGCAGGATTCCTCACATCTGCAGAAACGTTTGCTCTGCAGAAAGGAGGAGGCCTCATGCACACGGAACTCCTAGCTGCTCGGCCCTGGCAAAGCGCCTCTGGTTTAGGCAAAAATCTGCTACTGACTGTTATCTTTGCCAGCTTCTTCAGCACTATATTTAAAGCACTGTAGTAAACAGCTGTCACAGCCATGTACGTCCACAAGATGGGGACACTCTCCTTAATTCTTACCAAGAAGACTTACCTAGGTGGTTCGGCTCTCTCATAGTAGTCAATATTTTGAATAGTAATTATTAAATATTGCAGTAATGATAAACCACCGTCAAAAGAAACCTGGCTTACTAGTAAGTGGGAAGCTGTAGCAACCAAAACTGCTGTATATTATCTGTGTGCACTAGGGTACTGTAAACTGCTGGGTTATGATAAGATTGTAGAACAGCAACTCCTTTCTTGGATTCTCTGGGTATTAGAGGGTATCCATGCCTTGATTGTGATGCAACGATGCCACTCTCTTTATTTTATTTTGCATAACTAAATGTTTTTTATCTGAAATATTAATTTATCACCAGAACATTGCAATTACAAAATTACCTTGGGATATCATTGAAACTTGTTGAGTCAATAGGTTGCAAAAGCGTCACTTGAATTATACGTAGGGTGTTGTGTTTATGCTTGCTCATCATGAGCAAGATCTTTTTAATCCCTACATGAACAAATATGAATAGAAGTATGCTGAGCTTCTTAAGGGAATTTTACCCTTGACAAACACCATTAGTTCCAAAAGGCTGATTTAATCTCCTTGTAATCCTCTGTTATTTAAATTCTAATGGCTATATAATGTGAAATCACATCAAAGTGACTCAGCAAACTAAAATACAGTTGAGAGGAGATGTATCCTCCCTGACCCGGATATACATCACTGAAAAACTAGAATTCAATGAATAGCCACTAGTAAATCTAGACCTCTACTATTCCAATATCACCAGCACTCAGTAAAGGCAGAAGAAGCCTCTACCATAGTGATAGACTATTGTATGTCAATGAAAGATTATCTATTGAAAGACCATTTCTTTTCTGCTGTGTCTGGCACGCTGTCTCTTGAGGGACAGAGCTTGTTTAATGAAAGAACAGAGTTCCCACCCTGGTGACAGAGGAAGTAGGAAAGGGGATGCATTGAGATGTTTCTGAGCAACTGGAAAAATAAATAAAAGTAGTGAATGAAAAGACAGAGAGGTATTCCAAACTAGAGCTGCCTTGAGTATACCTGCCTATTTCTGTACTGACTCACCACTGCAGGTAAAAAAAACAGCATAGATATTGTCATACTGTGTCCTCAGTATTGGAAGGTTACAAACTGGACTCTACCTAAACATGCATAATTGTTTTACTCTTTGGCCTTATTTTTAGAAGGTCTTATGTCATGATATTATTCTTGAAGAAAGAACCAAGGCAATGAAAATGCCAGATCAGTCATGTGGCCTGTGTATATAATATGTGTGGTTTTGTCAAGAAGGATTCAAAGTATCTAAAACTCAGACATTGTAAACTATTGTATATAGTATATTTTTTTAAAAGGCAAGACATAAGGTATTATAAAGTCATGACAAAATTCAAGGTTCATAAAGCTTTGAAAGAAAAGTCACAAAAGATGGCAATTCAGCTGACTTCTTAGATGGAGCTCAAGCCTGATTAGCTGATATGTTAAAAAAATTCATATGACTCAGCTGCAGAAAAGTTTGAATGAAATTCCATTTGCAATATTCACAATCACAAAGTGCTGATCTAAACTACAAATACAGTCAGTTTCCTAAACTGACAATGTTCTTTTCATTAACTTTATTGCGACGATGGCTACTATGGATTTATTTACACATGGCTTGCAACTGGAATTCAACTAATAAGCAACTTTTAAAATACTGGGTTCCTACAATTTGTATTTTTTCTCACGCATGCCAGATGCACTGGTATTTCTACTCAGGGAGAAATAAAAGTATCTAAACATCACTGTGCCCCTAATCTGCTCAACATTTTTAACAATCAGTGAACTATTCTTACATACTTCTGAAAAACTGGATCTGTGTAATTTTTAGTTAGCATTTTACAACAGGCATTCAGTCTGTCCTAAGGAATGTTATGCTATGAATCTTGACATTTTGCTAAAGTTTGTGATACCCTCAGAAGTAAAAGATGCTTTACCCCTTTCTATGCATAATTTGAAAACAACATTCTTCAGTCATTACAATGTAATAAAA